AAGAGAATTAAAATGAGTGAGTGTGCCAGCACGTTTTCGACACCGCCATCTTTGCTGATTTTTAATTATTTTTTGGCATTGACAAATGCCCTGAACATTTACAAATATGTAGTTCACATAATCAATAACTCATTAAAAAGTTTTTAAAAAATAATAAAATTTTTAAGGCCTCGAAATAAAGTGAAAACAAAAAGTTAAAAATGAAAAAAAATGAAATAGTGAGTGGGCGTGCACGTTTTGACACCCCCATCTTTGACGATTTTTAATGTTTTGTCGGCTTAGCAGAATGGCTTCAAAATTTATGGGCGTGTAGGTTACATCATAAAATACTCACAAAAAAACAAATCGGAAAAAAAAAACTTATTTTCAGATCCCAAAACATTTTTGGTCGGGGGCTGAACCTGGAGGTGTTCGGCCCCCGAACGGGGCCCCGAACGCCCGAACATTCGGGGTCCAGCCCGGGGGCCCTCGAACGTTCGGTCAGGTTACCCTGCATATATATATATATATATATATATATATATTTTGTCTTTTGATTTTTTTTTTTTTGCATCTGTGTTCTGCCAGAATGGCTGAATGCATCCTCAAGAGGTTCCGCACGTTCGGGCATTCGGGTTCGGGCGTTCGGCCTATCCCGAACACTTGTTACCCTGTATATATATATATATATGTACATGTATATATATACAGGGTCACCAGCCTGTACATAAGGAGGTCCTTGGGGAGACCTCCGTACGTACGGGCGTTCGGGGTCCCGTACGGGGTCCGAACCCGACGGCGTTCGGCCCCCGCCAAAAATTATTTCGGGGCCGAAAACCAATTCTTTTTTTTTGAAGTTTGTTTTGTGAGTTATCTATAATGTAAGGTACATGCCTGTACATTTTCTAGTCATTTGGCTAAGCCAAATAAGAATTAAAAATCGCCAAAGATGGCAGTGTCAAAACGTGCTCGCCCGCATATCTTTTCACTTTTTACTTTTTGTTTTCACTTTAGTTCGGGGTCTAAACAATTTATTATTTTTTTAAACTTTTTTAGTGGGTTTTGTATTCTGTGAAGTACACATCTGTAAATTTTCAGGGCATTTAGCTATGCCCCCCAAAAAATAAAAAATCGCCAAAGATGGCGGTGTCGAAAAAATGCTCGCGCACTCACTAAATTTAATTCCTTTTTATTATTAGTATTATTTTTCCTATTTTATTTTTATTTCAAATTTGGTAAGGAATTCGGATGTAATGCTCCGACAAATCTT